GTTCCAGTGTAGTCTGGCTGATGGAAAAATCTTCAAATAAGTTTTCCTTCTTGGCTTTCGACAGCATGTCAAATACATTGGACAGTGATGACGCTTCGATCTTCGCGTTATAAGATAGAACGTTAAAATTTCTGAAATTTAATAATAATAATTAAAAAAATAATAAAAATAGTAATAATGATAATAATCATCCTTATCGTCTTCATCATCATCGTCATCATCGTCATAATACCTTTGCTCTAGAACGATCTCTTTGAACTTCGACCTTATATATTTAGTGACCTCTTCAACCATTTTGTCTTGCTCAGCTTTCGGTACTATCTTCAGTTTTATCAGGATTGTGTATCCCTTGTTGAACCTGGGATGGTGATGACGTCATTACGATGTTATGATGGTTCTGACGTCATTACGATGTTATAATGGTGGTGACGTAATTATGTGATGATGGCGTGATGAGTATGATCATCTCAAAGGCGTGCTAATACAATAGTGAAGTATTTTGTTTGACAGACTGACTGATTGGATGTTAGACTGAGATTGATTGATTGACTGATTGATTGATTGACTGATTGATTGACTGATTGAAATACTGATTGATTGAATGATCAAAAAAGTATTTGCGAAAATGTAATCAGCTAGTTACTTAGATTTAATATGTTGCAGACTGCCAAAACACATCAGGCGTCCAGAGACTTGAATGGTTAGCCGGTGGCACAGCGATTCACATTCTTCCATACTGAAAAAAAAGAAATATAAGCCAATCAGCCAATCAATCAGTCAATCAATAAATTAATCAGTCAATCAGTTAATTAGTTAACTAATTAATTAATCAATCAAATAATTCACAATTTCACAAATATTCAGTAAATCAGGTAATTAATTAATTAGTTATTTAATTAATCAATAAAATAATTCACAGTTTCACAAATAATCGGTCAATCAGTTAATTAATTAGTTAGTTAATTAATTAATCAAATAATTCACAATTCTTTTATTAACCATCCAGTCATGCAATCGTTTTGACGGTTGGTCTGTCAGCCTAACAGTTAATTATGCAACCAATCAAATAACCGTTCCATTAATTAATTAGAGCAGTTTAACAAACCAAAATCATTCAACCAGCTGACCAACCTATCAGAATGAAAATCAATCAATCAGCCAACCAATCAGAACTGATCACCCAACCAGCCAACCAATCAGAACTGAACTGATCACCCATCTAATCACCTGTGAGTGGTCAACAAAACTCCGTGACCTGTTTCCGTTGAACTAGCGATGCATCTGTCAATATTAGTAGTTGAAGTAATAGTAGTAGTAGCAGCAGCAGCAGCAGTAATATTATTAATAATAATAAGTTATGATGGTTGTTATAACCTCCAGACGTACGAGCGAGCACCTGGATCAACTCCAGTTGTTGGTTCATCCTTTGTTATTATTATTATTGTAAATATTATTGCTATTATCTTATTTCCTCTTTCTTTCTCTATTTCTTTCTCTCTCTTTCTCTCTCTCTCTCTCTCTCTTTCACACACACATATACATACACACACACACACACACACATATACATATTTTTACGCGCACACACGCCAACATACAAACACATTTCATTGAATCCGAACGGTGTTTGAACATTGTTTAACTGTGCGTAGCATTCATTCGAACTTTCACATGTGCAGTACACACGTACATATATATACACACACAAACAAAAACACACATAAATACACCCCTACACGCACGCACGCACGCACACACCAAACAAATAAGATCCGGATTGCCGATTAGTGAAAGTGCAACGGCCAGTTTTCTCCTGTTTCCGCCCGATAACTTACCTGGCAAGTAGTTGGCGAATTTTTTTAGGCCGAGATTGTCCAAACCCCATTGCACAATCTTCGAAAATTAATATTTTTTTAATTACATCATTGATTGTTCATTGGATATTTATTTTAAATTTACCGAGCAAAAGTCAGCACCATCTAGCCAGCAATAACCACACACACAACACACACACACACACACGCACACACACACATGCACACACACACATGCACACACACACACACGCACACACACACATGCACACACACACACACACACGCACACACACACACACGCACACACACACGCACACACACACGCAACTAACTTCAGAAACTTTAGACTTAGGGGCACCTCTAAACCTGGAGAACATTGCCAGGTGTTCTTGGACACTCATCATGGAGCACATGGCGTCGAACTGCGGGCAGTAACCCAAACGCTGTCTCGTTTCTTTCAAGTTTTTCGTCACGCTGTGTTGTTTTTGTGTGTTTGCTATGTTTGTTTGTATCAGTCTTTCTTTCTCTCTTTTCTTTTTCTCTCTCCTCTCTCTTTTTCTTTCTCTCTTTCTTTCTTTCTCTCTCTCTCTTCATTCATCCACTACTGACCTGTAACCACTGATGAATGCATCACCAGAGGTGATAGGAATCTCACTGGTGATCATCTTGAAGAGGGTGCTCTTTCCCGCCCCGTTGACTCCGAGCAGGCCAAAACATTCTCCCTTCCGGATCCCAAAGGAAATTCCCTGGACTGCCCTCTGGGATCTGGCGGATGCTCCCGTCATTACGCTCAGCAGTTTTCCTATGATTCCTGGCGTGAAATCCTGTTATAATTATTATTATTTTCATAATTATTATTATTATCATCATAATTTTATACTTATTATTATTATTAGTAGTAGTATTATTAGTATATTCTGTCATAATAATTATTATTTTCATAATAATTATTATTATTATCATAATTTTATACTTATTATTATTAGTAGTAGTATTAGTTGCATACGATTGTTATTGCATACACAACTATTACAACAACAAAATCAACTACTACTGTTACTAGTATTATTATTATTATTACTACTACTACTACTACTACTGCTGCTGTTACTGCAGCTACTACTGCTGCTTCTACTTACTACAACTACACAAACAAACAACAAAGACAACCAGACGACCTTGTAAACTTCTTTCACCAACAGAAGGTCTTCTTTATTGCCCTTGACCTTGACACTCATGACCCTTTTTTTCTCGGCGATGACGTCACTGTCCACGTCAGTGAAGACGCCTGGTTTGAATGGCTCTTTCTTATTTCTGTTGTAATTATTAATATAATTATTATTATTGTTGTCAACACACACACACACAAAACACACACACACGCACACACATGCACACACACTCACATTTTACTTAGTATGGCATCAGTCAGCAATCCACTTTCTTTGACGAAAATAATGAGCGAGTAGAGAAGGGCCTCTACAATGAGTAGAGGGATTAAATCCATCCATTCCGATTGGGTCACCGACATTTTACCACCTTCTTCGCCTTGGGAATGTACGTACGTGTGAAAGTATATATGTGTGTGTGTACGTGTGACTGTGTGTGCGTGTGTGTATGTGAAATTATGTGTGTGTGTGTGTGTGTACGTGTGAATGTGTGTGTGTGTACGTGAAAGTATGTATGTGTGTGTGTACGTGAAAGTATGTGTGTGTGTGTACGTAAAAGTATGTATGCGTGTGTCTACGTGTAAATGTGTGTGTGTGTGTATACATACAACTAAACAAGCAAACGAACAAACGAACGAACGTACGAACGAACGAACGAACACACAAACATACTTCTAGATTTTTCCACTTCGTTATACTTTTTCTTTCCGCACTCGAGTATCGTTTTCGTGAAGGGCCAACCTGGTAGCAAGAACATCACAATGACCATGGTCAAAGTCAGACCGCCCTTCTTCTTCTTACTAATAGTCTCCTTCACTATGAACACCAATGACGGCCCGATGACGCTAATAATCGATAGTAAGGTACCGAACGTATAACCGGTACTTGGCTCTGAGAAGACGTTTGATAGCAGATACACGTAAGGTACTGCTGCCATTCTGCCGCCGTGCGTTTTGGTATGTGTTTGTGCTTTGAGAGGAAGGAGAGAGAGATAGAGAGAGAAGAGAAAGAGAGAGAAAAGAGAGAGAGAGAGAGAGAGAAAGAGAATAGAAAAAAGAGGGAGAGAGAGAAAGAGAGAAAAAAAACTGTAAATAAAAAAAAATGAAAAGAGATTCTTCTTCAAAGACACATGCATTGATTCATTTCTGTATAAAATCATTAACTAACTAACTATAAAACAATCACTATTTAACTCGCTAAATTATCCTCTATCTATCTATAATAAACTATCTACGTCAAAATTACTCGCAAAAATGAAATTATTAAAAGACAATATTATTTTTGGCCAAAACGAGGGTTAAATTATAAGTGGGGATAAATATTTTGCGCCAAAAAGAAAATAAATATTTCCCACCAAAAAGATAATAAATATTTCCCGCCGAAAATACCCGTAAATGATGGTGACGAATACTATTTGAATGCCAGTTCCCACATCAATGACGTCACCCATGTTGCTGATCATGAAGATTGTTATCGTTATAAGAACTGAGAGACCGAACATCAGCTGTTGTTGTTGATGTTGTTGTTGATGCTGTTGTTGATGTTGTTGTTGATGCTGTTGTTGATGCTGTTGTTGATGTTGTTGTTAATGTTGTTGTTGATGCTGTGGTTGATGTTGTTGTTGATGCTGTGGTTGATGTTGTTGTTGATGATGTTGTTGTTGATGCTGTTGTTGATGCTGTTGTCGATGTTGCTGTTGTTGATGTTGATGTTGTTGTTGATGTTGTTGATGTTGTTGTTGTTGTTATTGCTGATGATGTTTTGTATTATTACCAGCAATGTTTTAGTTATAGTTACTATGATTATTATTGCTACACTATCACCATTATCACCAGAATTGTAATCACAATCAACAATCAGCCAATCAATCAGCCAATCAATCAATCAGTCAATCAGTCAGTCAATAGTATATTTCAATCACAGCAGTCAAAATCTCGAAAACCGTCTTTATTCTTATCATTTTCCTCCTCATCATCACCACATCTTTTCCTTCATCATCATCATCATCGTCATCGTCATTGTCATCATCATCATCATCTTCATCTTCAATTCTTCAATATTCTCTCTCTCTCTCTCTCTATCTCTCTCTCTCTCTCTCTCTCTCTCTCTCTCTCTCCTGTCCTTCACCATCTCACCATATCCCAGCAAAAGTTAGTAAGCCAGTAGACTAGGAAGTGGACACCGCTGACGTCTTGGAGGTGTTTGAACCCGGTCCTTCGTTCGTCGACTGCGAATATGCCGAAACTCGGAGGCACCATGCTTATAACCAGGCAGTACAAAATGTACAAGAGGAGATTCTTCATCAGGCCTTCGCTGTATGTTTGTGTTGTGCGTGTATGTGTGCGTGTATGTGTGCGTGTATGTGTACGTGTGCATGCGTGCGTGTGTGTGTGAATTGACGTTGCTTTGTACGTATGTTGATTGTCTGTTTGCGCCTTTGTGTACATTAACCATTTCGGGTTATTTTCCAGTGAATTGTGGTTACGCCGTGTAGAAATTATTCAATAAAATGTGAAAAACGCCACGAACGCGGATACAGGCGCGTCTGATGTTTGGAGTGGTTGGTTGATGAGGGCGATGCCAGCAGTGTGGGAGTCTAGGAGGGACCTCAAGACCAGGCTGTTGATGGAGTTGATGTAGGAGGCTGGCCCTATTATGGCGTTCGGTTTGTACCAAACCTGGGCAGGTGTAGTGTTGTTTTGGAATTTTTTCTTGATGATATGGCTTCGTTTGGAGTTCACAGTAAACGATTAACATACTAAAACTGAATATCTGTTGTTGGTTTAATTGCAATTAATCATATTAACGGATATTACTTTCAATGTTATTGACATTTTTTTAAAAAAAAGTTCAATCGACCAACTCTTATAATATTTTTGTCAGCAGCCTTGCAAGTTTTAGCGAAAAAGTTGAGAAATTTTCTATGCGGTAGACATTCAGAAGAGTTAAGCGTCATTCGCATGATGTCGTAAATACCGAATATAATACCGGATGTTATTAGCAGGTTACCTGACTCTGTGATGAACTCGTAACCGCCGAATCTGAGATAGCGGTAGAGGATGTTTGTGTGTTTGTGTGTGTCTGTGTGTGTGTGTGTGTGTGTGTGCGCGCGCGTGTGTGAATATCTAAATGCATAAAAATTTCTAATGGTTTTTTAATATGAATTTGTGATAGCCTCAAAATCATCTGCTTAAACCTGTCGTCCTGAAAGTCAATCAGAGAAGCCAGCAAGTACTCTGATACGTCATAATTAGTGAGGTTGTATATCGTATCGGTTGTACCGATATCTGCCTTCGACGGTTCCGAACCGAATGCTGAATGGTAACATCGCTATTATTACCATAAGCACAATTGTAATTAGTCTCTTTGGATTCTTCCCAACATTTACACCATTATTTAATTATTATGATTATTATTATAATCATATTATAGATTAATTACGATCATATTTATTATATTATAATTAATTATGATCATAATTTATACTCACCGGCGTCGCATTTAAGCGGTTTTTTTTGACAGTAGCAGTTGCGGCTGTAGTCAGGGTCGTAGCCGTCATTATAGGCGATTAGGCTGTGGCCCGTTGAGCGCTTGCACGGAATGTTTCTGTCGAGAATAGTAACTATAAAATTATTTCAATAACTAATTAATCAAATTAAATAATTATTAATGTAATAATAATGGTAATAATAATATTTTTAATTAAAGAATAATAAAGATGTTGTAATATTTTTAATGGTTAAGATTAGTAATAAGGAATGGTTTAATCGCAGTACAATATTATTCACAATTTTTAATAATATTAAATATAATTATAATATAATATTAATTACTATTATTATTTGCATAATTATTATAAAATAATAAAAAAATTATAACTGCTAACGGCATTGAGTATTGCTTGAGACATCGGTTGGATAGTCCAACTGCGTCAAACAGGGCCGTCTCTATGTGCTCGGCACTCCATCTCAAGTTCGGGCTGTTTCTTTTTTCAGAGATGATGATGACGAAGGATGATGAGGATGTTTGTGGTGATGATGATGATTGTGATGATGATGACGATGATGATGATGGTGATGTTGAATAATATTAGGTTTATTTGCCAAACTATTTTCTTTAAAAACCGAAAATTCAAAACGAAACTCATTTTATTTTAAGAGTACCAAATCTAAGGACTAACAACAATTCAACCAACGTTTAAACTACTCAACATAAGACCTTCAACATTCAGCCTTTGACGTTCAACATTCAACTTCGACCTTTGACCTTGGATACTTACGCGACAAAGACGACCAATGGCTTGGATGACCTCATTGTAATTAGGTAGGGATTTAGTTCCAATTTTCTGTGGTCAGCCACTTTCTTCTCCAACTTCTTCACCAAAATTACAAAAAGCAAAAAGAGGGCGCACGGTAAAATGATCTAGAGTTGTGTTGACGACGATGATGACGACGACGATGATGCCAATGATGATGACGTCAACAACAAAACAGCAGCAAACTGCGACAAACATAAACCGACCTGCGTTATAAAACTCATCTTGCTCCTTTTGAGAAACCAAAATCTCTTCATGAGCATGCTAATAGCCTGAGACTGCATCAGGATCTGTCCGGATTGCTTCTTGAAATCCGGACACATTTCGAACTTTTTATCCTCTTTGTCGTTATAAGGTGACGATGAAAATGATGATGATGAGAAGAATTGTAATTACTTACTAGTGAAGCAAGCATAAGAATTGTAATAAGTATAAAGATCGATCGTATGAACGAACTAACGAATGAATAAATAAATGAATGAACAATAAATGAATGAATGAACGAATGAACGGAAGTCCGGATAAATTAGCTAACTATCTTTCCCCGCCGTTTCCGGCTCAGCCAACCTCTCGGCTTCTTCCAAAACTTGCAAAAAAACCTTTAAAAAAAATTTTAAATTTCATCAAAAAAAAAATGAAAAAACAACTTGAAATAATAACTCAAAATTCAAATTATTTAACTTCCATAAAAAATTTCCATAAAACGATGAATAAATACAACAAAAAATGAACAAAACATAGAAAATAAACGGAAAAACAAATCCGCTACCACCGACCTCTTCCAAACCGGGACTCGACAGCCCGTAACTCTTAATATTCAGCGGTTTCTTGACCAGTTCAATCTCCTCAAAGAGATATAAATAATCCTCAGAGGAATGATCGTCAAACGGAAGTAGGAACGTCAACTCGTTGGCAACGAAGGATTCCATGTGGAGGATAGCTCCGGGTGAATGTCGTTTCACTATCTGGTTGGGATTGATTGTCGGATTGGTACAACAGTTGGGATTTGATACGGGATTTGAAACTTAAAATGGGAGTAATTAAAAAATTAAGGATTAATATATGGATTAGATATTATCTATGGAATAATAAATTTAGATCTTTTTAATTTGAGGGCAAAGAATTTCATTGGAACGTGGGAAAACACCCAACAACCGACTTCAATTATTTTCTCCGTATTTCCGTTCTTTCTCGATTCTCTGGCATCTTTTAAGATATAAATTTTTAATAAATAATTATTAATAATAATAAAACCAGCAGACAAAATAATAATATTAAATTAAATAATATGATAATAATAATAACCATATAGTTCGACGGTCAGTCTGTAGCCTTTGCTAAAAGTCTTCTTAAGAAACATTGGTGATCCGGAACAAATCAACTGCCCCTTCCAGATGATGGCAATCCGGTCACTCACGTAATCCGCCTCATCCATGGCGTGAGTCGATATTATCGTTGTCCTTCCTGGGAGATGGGTTGATTGCCACCGACGATTACTCGCTAGGAACCGATATTGCTTATTACCGACCGATTTATTACTCATCACTTACTGTTGTTCACTAATTAAAAACCGGCAAATTACAAGTAAAAACTAGTATGGACAATTTCTACAATACTGGTCAATAAACGGTGACTTATTTCTATTCGAAAATTAAATACATTCATACACACATACATACAAACAAACATACATACATACATACATATATACATACATAAATACATACATACATACATACATACATACATACATACATACATACATACATACATACATACATACATACATACATACATACATACATACATACATACATACATACATACATACATACATACAAACATACATACATACATACATACCTACATACATACATACATACATACATACATACATACATACATACATACATACATTCGCCTACTTGGATGACATTTCACTTGGTGGAAAGATTGAAAATGTGCTGATGGATTTGAATTCAATTGTGGGTCATGGGACTGATTTGGGTTTGAAATTAAACTTTAAAAAATGCGAATTCTTCACAAATCATCCAAACTTAATAGAAAATTCTTTCAAAATTAAACAGTTTCCTAAAAATGACATCGACTTTCTAGGCTCTTTCCTATTTCCTTGCAATAAACGTAATATTTTCTGGGGTGAAAAATTGGAAAAATTTAAATTTATTATGTCTAGACTGAAGGTAGTTTCGAAGCATGATGCCTTGACCTTGCTGTTGCACGCAATGTACTTGCCTCGTTTGACTTTTTTTTTAAGAACGTCGCCCAGCCTCGATAATTTGATGCTTCAATGTTTTGATCAAACGCTCCGTGACGGCTTCCAATCGATTTTCAACGTTCCCCTTGACCAGAAAGGTTGGTTACAGGCAACCCTGCCCATCTCGGTTGGTGGCTTAGGTTTAGGTACCGTGGTGGATTTAGCACCTTCTGCCTTCTTGGCTTCTGCTGCTGCCACGGTGTCTCTCCAAAATTTTTTGTTGCCCAGGGATAAAATATATTCCGACAATTTCAGAACCCAAGTTTTTGATGGGTTCCGGACCGTCCACGGAGTGGAGATTTGTATCAAAACCCGTTCTCAAAAGGAGTGGAACACTCCATTTATCAGCAGCTCAGTTGCTAAGCTGCTGGATTTGAACCAATCAAATTTTGATAAAGCCAGGATAATGGCTGTAAAAAGTGAGTTGGGATCATCTTGGTTGAAGGCGGTCCCAAATTCCGCCTGTGGTACCAGGCTGGACGACTCTTGTGTTCGTGTCAGTTTGGGACTGAGACTCGGTTTACCCATTTTAACCGAGTATGTTTGTTTATGTGGGGCCAATGTTGAACCCCTGGGCTACCATGGTCTTTCGTGTTGATTGGGCCCTGGTAGACAGGCTCGACATTCGGCCATGAACGACTTTTTGGTCAGGTGCTTTCAGAGGGCAAACATACCCACAATTAAAGAACCCACGGGTCTTATGGAGTAAGGTAGCCTCAGGCCCGATGGATATACTATTTCACCATGGGCGCAGGGACGTTCCCTTGCTTAGGATGTTACGTTCCCTCACACCATGGCTGAAAGGTACATTAATCTTACCTCACAGGAGGTGGGTGCCGCTGCCTTAAGAGCCGCAGACTTTAAAAATTCAAAATATGCGGCTCTTGCAGAAAGCAAAATTTTTCAACCAGTCTGCATTGAGACCTTTGGTCCAACCGATGCTCAGACTCAGAGTTTTCTGAATGAACTCTGTAGCAAGATTTTAGAAGTATCGGGTGACCCATTAGATAAGAGTTATGTAAAGCAATCCTTTTCTATTTTACTTCAAAAATATAATTCTTTCTGTATTTTGGATGGAGCGTTAAAATACCTGTCTGTGCGAAGCGTTTAACATAGATTAAAGCTGAACCCGGATATGATTATTACTTCCCTATAGTTCTAATCAATTATGGGTTCATACATACATACATACATACATACATACATACATACATACATACATACATACATACAAAAAAACAAACAAACAAACAAACATACATACATACATAAATACCAAAAACACTGACCATTCCTATATGTTTGTAGCAATGCCCAGATAGATCTTCTAGTGTGGGCGTCCACACCAGTAGATGGCTCGTCCAAAACAATGACCAGTGGTGACCCGAGGTAAGCTATGCCAATAGACAGTAACCTCTTCATACCGCCTTTGTTCAATATTTACTTCTTGTTTATGATATGCTCTGTTCATTTGTGTGATGGTATAATAGTTAAAGGGGCTCTGATCAGGCTCGAATTTCAAGAGATTCCCAGAAAAAACTACACAAGACAAATAGAAATATAGCAAAGATAATTAAAATAAGCAAAAATAACAAAAAAAAACAACTACAACCAGATAGTTCTCTAGATGGTGTGTTGATTTTATTGATGAGGTTCAAATCTCGAATGATGGCCATTGAATCTTTGGTCGTCTGTGCCATCGTCAGACCCTTCAGACGCCCGTAGAACATCATATGCTGTTTCACCGTTAGTCTGCATACGAAGAACGATACAAACTTATTTCATATGAGAAAAAATGATAATAATAATAATAGTAATAACAATAAAACGATAATAATAATATTAATAATATTGAAAGGAATAATTTGTAACACACAGGTCAAAGAGGATATCATGCTGAGGGCATAAGCTAAAGTTCTTTCTGATTTTATCCATGTCCTTGTGCACATCGTATCCATTGACATATACCGTGCCACTGTCTGCTGCCAGTAAGCCCGCCATCACCGACCTGTGTGCGTGTGTTTGTGTTTGTTTGTGTGTGTTTGTGTGTGTTTTAGTGTGTTTGTGTGTGTGTGTGTGTGTGTGTGTGGGTATTTGTTATTGTGTTAGTGTGTGTGTGTGTAGGTATTTGTCATTGTGTTTGTGTGTCTATGCGCGTTTAAGTTTTCTATAATAAAGAGAAACAAGAACATCATATGAGAAAATGTAAAATCATTAGTATGAACAGACACACACACACGCACACATACAAACACACACACACACACACGCAAACAAACATGGTAGTAGATTTCCCGGCCCCATTGTGACCCAAAAAAGCTGTAATTTGATTTTTATAAAAGTCGACACTTAAATGGTCGACGGACGGGACGGGATTGTTCTTGAAATGTTTGAAGAGGTCTTTGACGGCTACCCCGACCTCCATGCCTTTTGGCGTTGGCTCGTGGTAAATGTTGATTCTTGCTGTTGGTACTATGTGAGCTTGTGGCAAAATTGTTAAATTTATTTATTTTGATTTTTACAGAAAAAAAATTAAAATTATTTACGGTTTTGTAAATTTGAAATAAAATTTAATTTGATGTTAAACCTTTTCTGAAACGGAGCCACTTAAATCGTAGCTTCTGAATTTTGTTTAGCTTCAAATTTTCGATGTCGCCAACAGCAGCGGCCACAGCAGCATCGTTTATTTCAACTTCATTTTCATTTCCACCATTCTGTTCATCTTTCGCCTGATCCTGATGATCGTGGTGACCGCGATGACCTTGATGGCCGTGATGACCTTTGCCCCTGTGACCTCGAGTTTTTTTGTGGCGCATTTCTTTGTTATGGTGCCGCCCTCTACCACGTGCTGTAGTCTGACCAAGCTTATGACGATGACGGGTGGGGCCACGGTGATGACCTTTGGTCCCACGATCGGCCCCCCTTGCAACTTTTGTAGGATGGCGGGAATGTTCCTGCTGACTCTTCTTAGTTGTTTTGGAATCTTCTGATTTTTTGTCTTTCTGGGTGACCCCACTTCCACCTCCTCCTTTAGCTGTTCGATGTCTCGTTCGCTGCTTTGTTTGATGTTGCTTCTGAATTTTCTCCCTCCTTCTGCTACTACTTGCGTTCAAGTTGGCATTGCTCGGCAGAGAGGGCTTTGCGTCATCATCTACGTCATCATCTACGTCATCATCGTCGCTTGTAGAAAAATTGACGTCATTTGTAGAAAAATAGACGGCATTATCATCATCTTTGTTGGGATTTCCGCGACCAATCTCGCACGGCCAGCTGACTGAGAGGTTTGCACTGATGTCAGATACTGACAGGATACTCTCTCTCTCCACCTTATTATCTCCACCGCCTTCAAATGCACTACTGGGAAATGTTTCCACAATAGAATTTTTGAGATCACGTTGTTTGTCGTTCTGGAAAACTTCGCTTTTGTTGTGAACATTTTTGTTTGGTTTTTCTTTTTTTCCAGCTTTTGCGTCTGCCTTTTTTTCCGGTTTCGCATCTTTTTTTTTAGTTGTCTTTGTTTCCGGGGCTGTTTGGGTTTTTTTGTAGCCCATCATCTGCAGGGGGAAGTACCAAGGCTTCGGGATTCCAAACTCCCCTTGTGACAAATAAAAAAAGATAATTTTGAAAATTTTTTTTAAATTAATCGAATTTTTTTACCTTTTTTGCATAAACAAGCAGTTCAGCATTTTGTGTCTTTTTTTTAATTTTTAGTTTTTTAACATTTCAATATTTTCCTATCGTTGTTAAAAATATTGTAATTTTTCTCTCTCATTTCTCTCTTTTTCTTTTACACATATCCATACACACATACGCACACACATACACGCACACACATGCACGTACACACGTACACACTCACAAACAAACCAGGAAATACGGCCTGAATGTAAAGTATCAGCAACCAGGTCAAAGCCGTATCAACATTCATGGCGAGGAAGCTAGCGAAGGGACTGAACGAGTCCACGTTGTTTGGGTGACTGGCCATGTTGTTGAGCCCTAAACCCTTGCCCGAGGCTTCAAAGAGGGCAATGTACTTCACCAGGTATATCAAAGGCGTCGGGTGAATTAAATTCTAAGTGAAGTGATTTTCAAAAAATTATTTCTGGAAATATTAATTTAAATTTTTAAAATAATTTCCAAACATCAAAAAACTTAAAAAAAAGACTCACATATAAAAAATTTGCCGGGAAAGATGACTCTGCCTCTATACCATACCTATTCATAGCTACGTAGAAAAAAACAAATGAACTAAGGATGGAAACGAAAGTGGCGATTGTGGGTCTGTTGAAAAATATACTGATGAAGAAGGCTTTTGTGATAAGGTTGCAGAGGAAAAAGAGGTGGAAAACCATGAAGAAACCCGTGCTAGAGAACGGATATATCTTTGACTGTGGTGATGAAATTTGATTGTCTGATTGGTTGGATGGATGGTTGGCTTATTGATCGGTTGGTTGGCTGATTGGTTGGTTAATTGATTAGATAGATGGCTGGTTGATTGGTTGGTTGGTTGGTTGTTTGACTGGTTTCAAAAATTAATTAATTAACTCTAACCCATTGATACAGACATACAAATTAACGAAAAAAATTGTAATAGAATTTTTTCATTCGTACATGCTCAACAATTTCATAACTCAATTAATAACAACAATCCAATGACCATTAGATAAAATTAACTAAATCAAAAAACTTAAAAAAAAATTCTTAAAAACTCGACTAACAGTAACGATAATAGAAAGACCGAGACACGGGATAAGATAAACGAGGAACATGGTAGAGAACCAGGATATCCAATACACGGAATCCCGTAGTCCCATGATGCTCATGAATTCCTTCAGCTTCAAATCCTTCTCTCTGACTATCTTCTCTATTATTCTAGTTAACGGCATGAGCCAGGAAAAGTAGAAAAAGGGCATATAACTCCGCAAGAAATCCTGCTTTCTGGTTTTATTTAATAATAATTATTTTATTATTTATATATTATTTTTTAATTTGTCGATTTGAACGATTATATTTTGTTTAACCATTGTCGGAATAACGTTAATAAAACAGAAACCTAATCGAAATTCTACATAAAATTCAATAAAAAAAAACCCGAAACCCACAAAACCTGCCCACAAAAACACCCCACCACCCCACCCACTGCCACGACACTAACAAATCCACATAAGTACACGGGACCGGAAAGGCATTGATGGTCAATCCGTACTGGGAATTTCCGGTCTGCCGGCGTATGAAGGCCTGCTCGACCAGATCCTGCATGAACAGAAATCCGGATTGTTCGTATTTAGTGAAGGGAGCCTTGCCGAGGGGCGGTGCGTCGACCCTACGTTATTATTATTATTTATTATTATTTTATTATTATTATTTTATTATTATTATTAATTGTTTTATTCTCTCGTCATGTAGTATCTATTATGACAGAATCATTGCGTAAAGTACTATGCTTTAAATATATTTTATACCCTCATAAACTTGTCACTGACGATGAACACGGGTGGATCGTGCATTAAAATTAATTCTACTATATTTTTTATTTTAATTTTATTTTGATTAGCCATGATGTTTTTTGATAATAAAAGAGTTCACATTTTTATTATGATTACTTATAATTATTATCATTTTATTATTATTATTATTTCATTATTATTATTATTATTTTATTATTATGACTTTTTTTACACACTTGGTGAACACTATTTTGCTGGGGGAATCAATGGCCTTCGGGTGCATTCGGATGGCGTACTTCAAGAAATTTCTATCCTCATCAATATTCATTATGTGTATGCCTAGAAAAAAAACAATAATAATAAAAATAATAATAGCAATAATAATAATGGGAACATAGTTTATTTATTCAATCGACACAATGAAACTATAAGATATTTACTAAAATGTTAAAATGAATAGAATAAAAATAATCAATAGAATAAAAAATAATCAAATGTACGATAATAATAATAATAATAATAATAATAATAATAATAATAATAATAATAATAATAATAATAATAATAATAATAATGATAATAATAATAATAACACTAACAATAATAATAATAATAATGGGAACATTCTTTCATTTGCCGAAAAACAAAAACCCAAATGGAATCCATCGAAAATTACTAATTATATATTAGAGTGCAAATAAATAAAATATAAAATATAATGTACGATCCTCTCATGCTCTTTGATGAAATAATAATAATAATAATAATAATAATAATAATAATAATAATAATAATAATAATAAAATCGTAAGGACAATCAGTGCCTGACTTCCGAATCCAACTTTGTGGGATGTAATGTGGCTGGTAATATCGTGCTCGTTTGCTACCGGGATGAACTTGTCGAAGTCTATGCACTGCGTTTGTGTTTGTTTGTGTGTTTGTTTGTTTGTGTGTTTGTTTGTATGTGTAGGTGTGTTTGTTTGTGTGTGTTTGTTTGTGTGTTTGTGTGTGTTTGTTTGTGTGTGTGATAATGGCTGACGACGACGACGATATGGTGATGCGATATTGAATTATATTTTCTGCGATGATCAAACTTTTGAAAAAATGGATGGATGAATGGATGAATGAATAATGAATTAATGAACAAACAAACAGACAAGCGAATGATCAAACAAATGAATGAGAGAATGATCAAACAAATGAATGAGAGAATGATCAAACAAATGAATGAGAGAATGATCAAACAAATGAATGAGAGAATGATCAAACAAATGAACGAACGAACAAATGAACAAATAATGATGATGATCATTTTGATGTTGATGAAAAACAACAAAATTAAACAGTTAATGAAAAAATGAATAGGGAGGTAGATCGATTAATAAATAAAGATACAGACAGATAGACAGACAAACAGACAAACAGACAGACAGACAGTCAGATAAAAGACTAAACATTCATCGCAAACCTCTGCAAAAGATTGAACTGCTGTGAACGGCCCAATGAGTAAACTAACCAGCTGTTCTAAACTGTTCTTATTGTAGCTGTACATCAACTCCATCAGCAAGCGAGAATTCTCCGTCTTTGTTCGAAAGTAATTGGAGGAGGCAGCAATCTGTTTCGTGATCATCTCTGACGTCATCATCATCGTCTTCATCATCATCAACATCAAAATGATCGTCAACATCAAAACGGTCGTCATCATTATCAGAAGCAGCAGCAGAAGCGGCAGCAGCAGCAACAACAAACCTGGAAGTGCATGTGTAGAAATGGCATCTTCTGGCGAACGGCTGTGTACAGCTGCTCGAATTTTTTCCCCATCGTTGAATACATCCTTCCAGACTCTACGATTTCGTCCCAAATTTTTCGAACCTATAATGATAATAACAACAACAAAAACAATAATATTCATAATAATAATAATTATTATTATTATTATTGTTATTATGACCTCGTCCATAATTTCATTGTTGTTGTAGTTGTCGACGTAATAGACGTGTCCAAGGAGGAATCTCGATTGCACGAGTGATTCGGCCGTTTCACAGTCTTTTGGAGTTACAAAATTATTATATTCATAATTATATTATTATTATTAATAATTATTTGTTCTATAGATTAATATTAATTGTGCTCTACGTATGAAAATTACCATTATTAGTTTTTGTTAGATTAAAGAACAAAACAATTTATGCGATATTTAAGTCAGAATTCATTAGTTATGCGCTAGATAAATCACCAATAATTTTGCGCTAGATAAATCACCAATAATTTTGCGCTAGATAAATTATCGTTTAATAATGCGCCAGAATAATTACACCTGACTACTGTTATTAATTATGCGCTAGAAAAATTACTCACTCATGTCTTCATCCTCTTCCAGTTTTAGTTTGGCCGCTTCTTCATCGCCATCTTCTTCCAATTTTTCTTCCTTCACCATATCGCCACAAAAAATAGCTTCCATGTCTACCTCCATACTTTTGTATGTGTGTTTGTACGTGTGTGTGTGCGTACGTGGGTTTATATGTTTGTGTGTATATGTGTGCGTATATGTGTGGTGTGTATGTGTGGATGTGTGTGGGTTTATGTATGTGTGTGTGAGTGTTTATGTGCTTGTTTGAGTATGATATGAAACAAAAATTTGTAAAAATAAATATATGCACAAATGTAATTTGTATTCGAAAATGTATTCATTACAAAATACATACAATACAGTACAAAAATACATACAATACAATACAAAAATATGTACAATTCAATACAAAAAGGTATGCGATACAATACAATACAAACTCAAGTTCAGCGGTTTCTCTATGAAATAAGTATTTGAAGGCCTCTATGAAATTTCTCATCTTTTTAAATTCCGTTTCTATTTGTGAATACTTTAAGAATTAGAAAATTAATGAATGAATGAATGAAAGAAAGAAAGAGAGAATGTATGAATGAATTAATGAACGAACGAAAGAAATGAACAAATGAGTAAATGATGAAGTGATTATTAAATTGCTGTGGTTAAAGAAAAGAATAACGAGAATGAAAGTTGAAAACTTAAATGTATAAGAACAATGGAAGATCATGATGATGATGACGGTTAATAATAATAATAATAACAGCAATAACTACATTAAATTCATAATATTTATAATTTATAATGTTATTTCTCTTAATTATAGTTTAGAAAATTTATATACACTTAACTCACAAAGCCACTGATCTTATCCCAAAGTTTATAAATTTCTGGATTCATTCTGCCAGCCTGTTTTGTGAAGAGTAATTGCTATTACTACTACTACTTTTGCTGCTGCTACTACTGCTGCTATTGCTGCTGCTACTGCTGCTACTACTACTTGAAATTATAAAACAAATGTTACCAAATCAAGGATGCTGTTAAACGACCCAGCAGCTATCAACTTTTGTATTTCTATTGTTCCCTGATAAATAGCAAATAAAGTTTAAAAAGTTAAAAGCCGAATGAATGAATAGATGGATGAATGAATGAATGAATGAATGAATGAATGAACGAACGAACGAATGAACGAACGAACGAACGAATGAATGAATGAATGAATGACAAATAAAAAAAATTACACACCTTTCTTGTTTCAAAAGTACAAAGTTTAGTCTGAACATCGCTATCAGCTAAAATTTTGGAGCCGGACTCAACACAGATCCTGTGGTACAGCATCCCAGCTACGGTCCTGCGATTTTTGTTATCGCTGGGAAACTGTTTAGAGTACAATTCAGTTAAGAGCTTCATTGGACGGAATTTGGAGTTCGCCATCTCGCCAGCCAGACCGGAAAGTCTCCAACCTCTGACCAGGAAGTCCCCTATGAAGTGCTCTTCGTCTGGTTGGTCGGATGGGTGGGTGATGGTGGGTTTTTTGGGTGGAGTTTAGCTGTTTTTTTGAGTGTGTTTGTGAATTAATGAGTGAATGAATGAATAAGTGAGTGAATGCATGCATTAATGCATGAGCAAGTGAGTGAGTGAATTATTGGATGAATAAGTGAGTGAGTGAACGAATGTACACAATGAACGAATGAACAAACGACAATCGAGCAAACGATGGCGCGAATGAACAAACAAACGAATAAACGAATGAGTGCTTGAATAAATTTTTAATATTTTAAACGAGTGAATGAGCAAACGGATGACACGTTACGACCTTCGGAAGTTTCAAACCCCATCAAAGCCTCATGGAACTTGTGCATGTCCAGGGCTTTAAGTTGAAATTCATTTTTGAAAAACTTCAAAAAAACTTTAACCTCTGAGATCACACTAGCCACCCTGTTATTGTTACAGCGATATTATTTATTTTAAATACATCGTTACAAATTAATTCGAATTAAATTAAAGTAAATGTTTCAAAAATTTTGTTTTCTACCATTTAATAATTATTATTTGATTATTTGTGAAGGTTTTTGAGGAATGGCAGGTTGAAAGCCAACAAAATTCGGCAGCCTTATTTTACCAACACCACATTTTTTAACACCGTCTTCCTTTAAAATTTGTATTTAGCAAACGTCTTTGTGCTTTCGAAAAACGTAACGGTTAAATTTTTGGCCTGCCATATTTCAAATCCGGTTCCGGTTATTTTTTTCCTCACTTGGGACTGTTAACAAGTTTTATCAACTTATCACTCAGGGTGTCGTCAAGTCCCTCAGAGTAATCCAAATCCGTAACTTTACTCTGGCTATTGTCGTAGCAAGCGAATCCGGAGAAACACGTGAGTCCTTTTAAAAATGGGAACGTACCAGATGATGGGAGGGGTTGCTCCCTTTTGTGGCCTGTGTGTGTGTGTATATATAAATAGATGTGAATGTGTGCGTGCGTGTATTTGTTGATTTGTTGGGGACGCTATTGATTGGTGTGGTTGATTTTTAAGTATAACTTAACTTATTAAAATAACTAAATTATAAAATAATTATAATTATTAATAATTCTAATGGAAAGAGATCCTCAAACATATTTGAGATTCCGTCGGTGGCATAGTTTCCATCTGCGTTATCATGGCCATGAAGGCAATTACAATGGTGAACGGCACGCATATGTCCAGTACTAGCATCAACTTATTTAAAAATTATTATAAATTTCATGAATATATATATGCGTATTGTATTCTGGTGTAAATATTCTTACTCTCTGACATATCTTTAATAAGATAAATGAGAATTTTACTCAATATTTATTATTTATTTATTATTCTCGTATTTATTTATTCATTTATTTGATATAAATATAAAGAAAATTATAGTCATAATTAAATAATAAAATAATTTTTCTCACTTTGTTTGAGGTTGTTAGCCAGAAATTTTTAAGCATTATTACCTTCATTTGTTCAACGAACCCCCCCATCTTATTATTGTATTATTTGCTTGGTTTGTATGTGTTTGTTGGTTTGTATGTGCTGGTTTGTTTGTTTGCGTTTGTTAGTGTGTGTTTGCAAGTTGGTTTGTTTGTTCGTTGGTTTGTTTGTTTGTTTGTTTGTCTGTTTGTCTGATGCGAACGTGTTGTCAGCAAAATTTGAAACGCTGGTACATAAACAAACGACTTTTAAAAAGTATGAGTCACTGATGACGCAAACATAGACACACTAAACTGCTTTAATTAAATGTTAAAAATTTATATATTCTATGTTTAGAAGGGGCTTTGCTAATATTGTAGTCTAAATTATTAAGTATTAGAAGAGTAAATTTCTCTAGAACATTTTAATTTCGCATTGTTAGCAATAGTTAATCACAGTGTAAAGGTATGATTAACCGTCGAATATTACAATTTTTGTACGGTTATATTTCAAAATTATCTCACAAGCTAAAAACTTCGAAAAAAAAATCTTTCACAAATATTTTCATTTCATAATTTACTCACTGGAAAAATAAAATTTAAATTAAAAACCAACAGATGAGAAGAAATTAATTAAGCTCTTGTTTGCTAGATCTTAAACGAAAACATTCTGACGTTCATTCTAATTACACACACACACACACGCACACACCACACACACACACACACCACACACACACACACCTCTTTTTCCCTTTTACATACACACACACCGCAAACAAAAACACACACACACACACCACACACACGCACACATACACACATACACAAACAACACACATACATATATACACAACACATAAATGTTTATATGTATTTTAACACATATATAAATATGCCTTGAGTTTACTTTGCCTTTTCATAATTTAAAAGTTAAAACTGCACTGACATAGAACACAAAAAATTTTAAAAATGTTGCTGATTTTGGCACTAATATTTTCCCGCCATTTTCTACTTTCCGGCCAAGAAAACTCGAGTAAGTCAGAATTCATAATCAATACACAAAATTTATACCTATAATTAATTCTCTTCTAATCATTATTCACAATTAATGCACATAATAATTATTCATAATTTTACTTGCAGACAACATTCCCTTTACTCTGACTTCGGACAAGAAGCATGTTATCATCTATAGAAATTCTTCTGAAGTAAAATTATTATAATATATATATATATATATATATATATATATATATTACTGAATTAATATTACAATTTTTATTACTATTACTGCTAGCAGTGAGTAGAAGTAGTAGCACGTAGTAGTAGTAGTAGTAATTAGCAAGTAGTAATTATTAGTGTTGGCTTGTTTTACCAAATTGAAGAATAGTTTTTGAATGCTGAATAAATTGACATAAATTATGCAAATGATCGGCAGATTACATTGGAGTTAAACTACACAGCTGAGTTCAGAGTTCATTTAGTTTGGATGAAAAATAATTCTTTCGAAAATGCTGGTAAACCTGGCGAAGATGATGGAATCGGAATCGACAAGCTCGAATCAATCAATATAACCGATCCGAGATACCGAATCGAGTTAGTCAATCGAAATGTAAGAGTGGGTGTGTTTGTACGCGTGTGTGTTTGTGTGTGTTGTGTCTGTGTGTGTGTGTGAGTGTCTGTCTGTGTGTGAGTGTCTGTGTGTGTGTCTAGATATATATATTTATTTATTTTTACGTATTTATGTGTTTGCCAGTTAGCTAATGCAAACACCTTTAAATTTACTACTACTACTTCTATTATTATTATTATTATTATTATTATTATTATTATTATTATTATTATTACTATCATCATCATCCTCATCATCATCTTTACTACTACTACTCCCTACGACCGCTACTACTGTAGTCGCTGCTGCTGCCATCATTACTACTACTACTCCCTACTACCGCTACTACTCTAGTAGCTGCGGTGGCGGCTGCTGCTACTACTACTACTGTTTAATACTACTAATACTAATGTTGACGCTAACGTAGAAATGAGTATTGGTCAAACTTTGGCGTGGCTAACTTAACAATACGAGATGTCCGGAGATATGATACAGGCAACTACTTAGTTTTTGCTTATAAAGATGCGAACAGTTCCGAAAGGATTAAACAACTGAGATTTCTAGTGACAAGTTGGTCTGGTTAGTGGATAGACTGAGTGATAAGTGAAAGAATGAAATTATTGATGGTTAAATTATTGTCGTCTTCATCGTCGTCGTCATCATCTTTTTCATCATCGTCATCATCATCGTCTGCAATCGTACTCTCATTATCATCATCGTCGCCACCATCATCATCATCATCATCATCATCATCATCATCCACTTCATCAACATCGTCATCATCATCGCAACTAAAACCGTAACCATCATCCTCATCATCGTCACAACTACAACTATCATCATCACAAATATCATCAACATCATCTTCATCACAACCATCATCATCGTCGTCGTCGTCATCATCATCAGAATATTCAAGCGTAACGTTCCTACGCAACAACCGCTACACCTTTACAACTGGATACGCTTCCAACTTACAAAAACCGGAAGATCTCTCTAAACGATCCGATCAAATATTTTGTACCGGTCGATACGGATATCCGATACCGAAAATCACTATTCGGTTTAAGCCGTTTGATGATGATGACGATTACGCTAAACCCGATACGATAAAAGAAACTGGCCATTCAGTTAGTAAACTTTCCGAAAGTAATAATGATGACACTATGAGTCAAATGGACAAATCTAATACTATTGTTAACAATGACATTGATGTTGACAATGAACCTGATGAGGGTATAAAAGGCTGGCAAGAGTTGGACAGCAACAACTTCGTCATGGTTGGTGTCTCTCATTTTTTGTGTTTCTTAATTCTACAGTTTTTAACCTACCGATATGCACGTGTAGTGTACAAGCAAAATAGCTCATTATAAGCAGGATTATCTTTGCATTTTGAAGCAGTTCCCCGCGTAACAGTTCCTTAGAGCTTACCATTAGGCTATCACGTTCGCTATCTTATCAATCAGGATAATTAACTTTGAAAAACTTTTATATTACTCAATTTTTGCGTTTTCGAATTATAATTAACAATGCAAAAGATACCAGGGCCTAATGAAGAAGAATTCAAATTTTTGGTACATCCGTACCGAAATCAATCCGGTAAGTACAAGTGCACTTTAGAAAGTGCCTATGCACCGAAAAGGGCGTATCATTCTTTCTATATATTCAGTTAGTGTCAACAATCATCACCAGCGTCATCATTAATGTTACAATCATCATCATTAATGTTACAATCATCATCATTAATGTTACAATCATCATCATTAATGTTACAATCATCATCATTGTTGTCACAATTTCAACTTCAGCCTTATTTTGTTTTCTTCATCTTCTTTCAGATCCATCAGATCAATTCGGTATAAACTTTCGTAGAAATTCCCAACCCAAATACATGCGTGTGTCGGCCGGATCGCATCCCACGGTCAAATGCTTCGGACCCAACAGAACAAGCAATAACCCACCTGGAACACGCAGCCATCTAGGAATGCTGGTGGCCGAAGTAACGCGAGGCAAACCACAATTTTTAAGGTGAGTCAATCGTAATAATTGAAATACACCAAACGAACACACGTGTGCATATCAGTTGTAATGGTCAACAATCACCAACAATGGCAGGGGCAGTTCCAGGATACATGCCCAGTCATCATCGACGAGTACAAGCAGCAGAACAGCCAGTTACTCTTCATTCTCTGATATAAACGGAAAAAAGACGAAGATGGAAGTAAATCGTGCCGAGACTACAACGGATAACAAAGCGCAGAACTTGAATCAGATCTTTCCTTCAAGGTCATTAACAACCTCTCCAAAACTCCCGAATTTAACGGTGACTGATGAAGAAGGATCAGGATCATTGGTTCTCGTTGGCCAACTTGAAATCCCACCGATTCACGAAAAGTTCACTTACACCGTCATCTGCCGTTGGGATTATACGGCGGATCATTTGCCTATTTTTGATGGGATCAAGTTGATACATGAGGGTTGTCGATGGATGGATGGATGGATGGATTGGTGGATTGATAGATTGATGGATGAATGAATGAATCTATAAATGAACAAACGAACGAACGAACGAACATCATTGCCATTATTATCGACCAAAATTTCAGACCTAGGTGGAGCAAACGATGAGGACGAGGATTACAACATGGCAAACAACACTTCCGGGGTATCTATTTCCGGTTCCAATTCTCAGACGGCCGTCATCATCATTTGCGTCATCTTCATCTTCTTGGTTGGAATGATTTTGGCCGGAACCTGTTTCCTGTGGAAATATATGAAGGAGAGAAAGATGGTTTGATGATGACGACGACGACGATGATGATGATGGTTGTGTGGATGATGACGATGATAATGGTTATGAAGACACTGCTGATGACGATGGCTTCTTTATGATTATGTATTTAGCCATATTTTTTAAAACTCACAATAAGCTGAAAACCCCTTTCGAAATTTACTTGCAAACGTCAAAAAATGAAAAATACAACCCCGACTTACCATTGGACGAGCAAACTGACTGCTTGGCCTATGACCCTGCATGGGAAATCCCCAAAGATGCACTCAGACTTGGTTTCGATTTTTAATTTAGCTACTTATTGCGATTTCAATTTCGTTTTATAAAAATAATTTTTGTCTTGGTAAATATAGTGTTAAATTTTTTCAAAATTTTATTTCATTTCACAGAATCCCTTTTAGGTCAAGGAGCCTTTGGAAAGGTCATGCAAGGTCGTCTATCGCTTGATAAAATTAGCAGCCAATCAATTTTAAATCAGCGCATCACTGACCAATCAAAACCAAGCACACTCGTAGCTGTTAAAATGGTGAAAGGTGATTGGTTGATTGCTAAAATATTAGTGATTGAGTAATTTAAATATGTAAATATGAAATTTTTTAGAAAATATTAATATGAAAAATTAATAAAAACCATGCTACCAGTCAATCAAGCACTGAATCATTCATTCATACATCTATCCATCCACTTATCTATCTATCTATCCATTTATTCATTCATTCATTCATGCACTCATCCAGTCAATCACTCTCATTCATTTAGACGTTTACAATCACGAGCAAGTCCGATCTCTGCTCTCAGAACTGAAGATAATGATGTTCATAGGATCTCATGTTAACATAGTTAATCTTCTTGGGGCAGTAACTACCCAACTAAACAGAGGTAGTAAAATAAAAGAAGTAGTAGTAGAAGTAGTAGCAGCAGCAGTAGTAGCAGCTGCAGCAGCAGTAGTTGTAGTAACGGTAACAGTAGTAGTATTATTAATATTCCCTTGTGCCATTACTTTATTCATTCATTTATCTAACTTGCGTTCATTCATTCATTCATTCGTTCGTTCGTTCGTTTGTTCGTTCATTCATTCATTCATTCAATCATTCATTCATTCATTCATTCATTCATTCATTCATTCATTCATCCATTCACTCACTCATTCATTCATTCATTCATTCATTCATTCATCCATTCACTCACTCACTCATTCATTCATTCATTCATTCATTCATCCATTCACTCACTCATTCATTCATTCATTCATCCATTCACTCACTCATTCATTCATTTATTCATACATAGGACTGTTCTACGTAGTGGTTGAGTACTGTGGTAGTGGCTGCTTGAGGGATTACCTCATAAAAAATAAAAAATATTTTGTTGGCGGCGACAAAATAAACAATAATAATAATAATAATATAATTAATAATAATAATAATAATAATACTGCTACTACTGCTACTACTACTACTACTGTTACTAATAGTAATAATAATAATAAAAGCGAAACCGGAAATGGAAAAGTTGAAAAATCATCCTGCTCAGATTGCAGGCATCCTATCCTGAAGCAAAAACTTTTCCCGCCAGCTAAAAATTTATACGTTGACGGTAATGACAATGATGCTAATGATAAAAGTGATGGTAATGATGACGGTGATGATGGTGATGATGATGGGGATTGTGATGGGGATTGTGATGGTGACGAAAATGTAGCAGCGGAGAAGAAGAAATTTGTGGAGAAAGTCGTGCTAACGATGCGAGATTTGCTGAGCTTCTCGTTCCAGATTGCAAGGGGCATGGAGTACTTGGCCTCTAAAAAAGTTATTATTATTATTATTATTGTTGTTGTTGTTATTATTATTATTATTATTATTATATTTATTATTATCGCTGTTAGTGTTGTCGTCGTTATTATTATAGTTGTTGTTGATTTTGTTGTTGTTTTGGCGGTCGTTTTTTTTTTTTGAAAAGTAACATCAACAACAACAACAACAACATCCCCAACAACAACATCCCCAACAACAACAACAACATCATCAACAACAACATCAACAACAACAACCTCAACAGCTGATCCACAGAGACTTGGCGGCAAGAAATGTGCTTGTGGCAGATGACAAAATCGTAAAGATATGCGACTTCGGCCTGGCCAAAGATTGCTACAAGTACAGCGAGTATAAGAAAAAATCAGACGTCAGTAATGATGATGATACTGATGATGAGGATGATGATGGTGATGATAATGGTGATAATGATGATAATAAGGATGGTGATGATAGTGATGAGAATGGTGATATTAATGATGATACTGATAATGACGGTGATAATGATGATGATAATGATGATGATAGTGTTAATGATGATGATAATGGTGATGATGGTGATAATAATGATGGTGAGTGTGGTGATAATGATGATGACGATGAAATTTAGGCTCCTGTTCCAATCAAATGGATGGCTCTCGAAGCCTTGACCCATAAGCTCTATACGTCACAAAGTGATGTGTTAGTAAAAAATTGTTATTATTATTATTAATATTATCATTATTATTATTATTATTATTATTGTTATTATTGTTGGTGTTATTCTTATTATTTTTGAAATGTTATTATTATTGTTATTATCGTAGATGGTCATTTGGCGTTCTGATGTGGGAGATTTACTCTTTCGGTCAGTATAATGATTGAATGAATGAACGAGTGAGTGAGTGAGTGAAAGAATGAATGAATGAACGAGTGAGCGAAAGAATGAATGAATGAACGAGTGAGTAAGTGAGTGAAAGAATGAATGAATGAACGAGTGAGTGAGTGAAAGAATGAATGAATGAATTGACAGACGAACGAACAAATGATTTAACAAACGAACGAACACAGAATCGAATGGATGAATGGAAGAACGAACAAAGGAAAAAAACGAACGAATGAATGAACAAATGAATTTTGTTTATCTTCGCCAGGTGGCAACCCTTACGCTGGCATTGACATGAATGAACACTTCGTTACGAGGCTAAAAGAGGGTTTGCGATTGGAGAAACCGGAAGTTTGTGATTTTGAAACGTTTGTGATGATGATCTGGAGATGATGATTTCAGCAATTTTGCTTCTTTTTTACAATTTTTTCATAAGTTTCACCTTTTAATTCTATTTCTAGACCTTTAATTCTTTTTATAAACCCAATTCTATTTATAAATCCAATTCTATTTATAGATCCAATTCCATTTGAAGATTCAAATCTATTTATAGATTCGAAATAATGACGTCATGCTGGAAAGCCAATCAGAACGATCGACCCACGTTTTTCGATCTGGAAAAATCACTCTCTAAACTTTTGCAGAGTCTTACTGGAGATGTGAGGATGGATGGATGGATAGATGGTGGAAATGAATGATTGATTGAATGACTGAATAGATGAATGGATAAATATATAGGTAGATGGACTGATAGATAGATAAATGAATGATTAAATTAATGGATGAATGAACGAATGAAGAACTTATTAATAGAATCATGTTTAAAATGTTAGAAAAATTGACTAAATGACGGACGGTTTTTGATTGATGGATTGATGAAAGAGTAAATGGATGAATGAATGAATGAGTGAATGGATGGACAGATAGAATTTGAACCAACCCCCAAAAAAATAATTTATATTCTTTCTTTTATCCAGGTTTACATAGATGCCGATATTGGCTATGGAGCAGACTCACCGGGAGAAATAAACTCTGAAAAAAATTTTTAAAACCGTCATCATCATCATCATCGTCTTCATCATCACAATAACCATTATTATTGCTATGATGATTATGATGATGATGAATAATGATAATGATGATGATAACATTATTTTTTCCAGGTTAAGTTTCGCTTTAAATCAGAATCCATTTCGTCATAATCTCACTTAGCTTTTTTTTGAAAACTTTGCTATCAGTGCTTTATTCAGTAAAATTTATTTTTCGATATCATTATTATTATTTTATTTTATTTTTATTACTCTTCTTGGACAATCATAGCAATAGAGAGCTATGTCGAACATAGCAGAAATAATGCTTTACAAGCTGATTGATCAGTTAATTCATTCGTTCGTTAGATTTTGTCTCAAGGGCACAATCATTTTGCTGAAAGAAAAAAAAACGAAGATTTAATTCTACTTAATCAATAAACTACTTAAATAATAATAGCAATAATAATTTTAAATAACTTGTTAAACTTCAGAGATAATATGCAAATGCAGTGGTTTAGTCCGAACGAAATGATAAAGCTTTATCAGTGCAAACACTTACATTTAAACTTTGAATCAACAAATACACACACACACACACACACACACTCACACACATATACATACATACATATATATATATATATATATATATATATATATATATACACACACACACACATATATATATATATATTATGTATACAATGTATATACTGATACCTCAATACAGTTTTTAATACATTTCCTCAAATAAATATATATTTCAAAGTGGTAAACGCTTACTTAACATAACTACTGCCTGTGTTGTTGGTATTATTAGTGATACTGATAGCAGTATTTGGGATTCCATTATTCTCGGTACTCGATAATATCCGTAGAAATGGGACTATCTTTCGATCCGGATCGGTCGGTCCATCCGACCCTGGAACAGCATAGGAAGCAAGCTTCGTTCAAAGCGGACAAGTTGACCAACTTAATGTACGGTGGGTCTGAATGGACGAAGAAGAAGAGGAGGATGAGTGAGTGAGGGGTGGAAGATGGCGTCGTTTTCATCGTTACTTTCACCACTATCATCATCGCCATCGTCGTCGTCGTCATCATATAACTATTAATGCACAACTATCGCAATCACTGTTGTCAATATTTCATAACTACAATCAACAATAAGATCATTAATGTTAATCAACCAATCAATCAACCAGCCAATCAATCAATCAACCAACCAATCAATCAATCAACCAACCAATCAATCAACCAACCAACTAACCAATCAACCAACCAACCAACAAACCAACCAACCAACCAACCAACCAACTAATCAACCAACCAATTAACCAATCAATCAATCGACCAACTAATCAACCAATCAAGTCGAGGTTACCAAAGACACGGTAAAACAGCTGGGTCCAACGTCAATCAATCACTTGAATAGACTCGACCTGTATAACGAAGGCATCAAACAGCACTGCTTGGTCATAAAAATTGTTCAGCAAAACCCAGAATGGAATAATTTTGAGGATATTATTGCCATTATGAGGTTGGTTGGCTGGCTGGTTGGTTGATTGGTTGATTGATTGGTTGACGGCTGATAAATGAGTGAGTGAGTGAGTGAGTGAGTGAGTGAGTGAGTGAGTGAGTGAGTGAGTGAGTGAGTGAGTGAGTGAGTGAGTGAGTGAGTGAGTGAGTGATCAAGCCATCTTTCATTGATTATTGAAAAAATCCCCATTCCAAGCAAATCAATCAAACGTTCTAGAACAGCCACTACCCATTCGAACATTCTAGAATAATCATGCGCTATTGTTTGTCCGGATTAACGGTTCACGAATCCATGTTCATCGATATAATTGAAAACCAAGGAACGGAAGAACAGCGCAAACACTGGATGAACCAGATTAAGAAGTTGCAAGTCATCGGCACGTACGTGCAAACGGAGCTGGGACACGGTCCGTAACGAATTGGGAGGAATAGAAATGCTTTTAAATGAACATTTTATGAAGTGTATTTATGGAATAAAATCTTTTTTTTCATTTTAAGTTGCTATAAACTCGCAAAGCCGGAAAAATTTTCGCTTATATTATATTTTTTTAAAATTCACCCTTGAGTTTATAAAACATCCAATCGTTCATTGCCTTATCAATCAATCATCCAGTCAATCAATCAACTAACCAAACAATCAATCAGCTAACCAGCCAGCCAATCAATCAACCATCCAGTCAATCAATCAATTAACCAAACAATCAATTAACTAACCAGCCAGCCAATCAATCAACTAACCAGCCAGCCAATCAATCAACCAAACAATCAGTAAACTAACCAGCCAGCCAATCAATCAGCCATCCAGCCAATCAATCAATTAACTAAACAATCAATCAACTAACCAGCCAGCCAATCAATCTACCAATAACTCACTCAGGGACAAACGTGCGGGGATTAGAAACAACTGCCATATATGACAAAGAGACTGAACAATTTGTTCTCAATACTCCAACCTTAACTGCAACCAAGTTTTGGCCAGGAGGATGTAAGATGTCATTTATTCTTGTATTTGTTCATTCATTCGTTCATTTATATCGTTCTTTCTTTTGTTCGTTTGCTCATTTATGTTTGGTCAGTTATCCTTCATTGAATAACTAATCCATTTATCCAATCATTCATCCATCCATCCATCCATCCAAACATCAATCAATCATTCAATCAACCAACCAACCAACCAACTGACAGTGGGCAAGACATGTAATTACGCGGTTGTGATGGCACAGTTGATTACCGACGGTTCGAATCACGGGGTACATCCCTTCGTCTGCCAACTTCGAGATGTCGATACACATTTACCGCTATCCGGTCGGTACATTTCATAATCTTTAATAATTATTATTTGACAGTATTAAAATTTATCATTGCTTATTTTAACATTAGTTTTGTAATACATCAATACATTTTCTGTTCATACTTCAATCTGTCCATTTTTCAATCTATCCATCCATCTATCCATCCATCTATTTATCCATCCATTCATCCATTTATCCATTTATCCAACCATCCATCCAACCATCCATCCAACCATTTATTATCCCAGGGATCGAGTTGGGAGACATAGGGACCAAACAGGGATGGAATGGGATCGACAACGGATACCTGAGGTTGGACAACGTGAGGGTACCAAGAACCAACATGCTCATGAAGTATTTCGTCGTAAGTTGTTGCATGGATGGATTGGGTGAATGAATGAATGATTGAATGAATTAATGAATTAATGAATTAATGATACATGAATTAATGTATGAATAAAAAAATGAATGAATAAATGTATGAATGAATGGATGGATGAAGAATCGGACATACATACACACACGCGTAAATAGGTGCACAAAGACGGTCGGTACGAGCGGATCGGGTCGAACGATAAAGCCATCTACTCAACCCTGATCTACGCCAGATCATTGTGCGCCAGTTTTTATGGCGGGAGAATGGTCATCATGGCCGCCTCTGTGGCCATTAGGCACTGCCTGGTTATGAAATGGTTACTACTGATGATATTGGTGATGACGACGATGATGTTGATGATGACGATGACGTTGAATTATTCATTCTACTATTAACTTTAGTATCTTTCCAACTTACATCCACAAAATGACGTCATCATCATTCAAAACACACGACAGCGATAAATACGGTTCTCTATTCGAGAATCGATTCGTGAAGAATACACTGGTCACCGAACTGGCAAGCGGCCTCGCCATCTGGCTGGCCGGCAATGCTCTCTCCAATGAATACAAACGGTTGCTACCGAGAATCATGGATGGAGACTCGAGTCCTCTACCAGCGGTGCATCTCTTTTCTGTATTCTCTAAACCTTTCTCCTTACCTTCTCAATTTTTTGATATTTCTTAATTTCGTTCATAAAGAGAACATTGAGAATAAACTTAATTTTAGCGAGATTTTATGAGCTAGTAGTTTGAATAATTAGTTTATCTGCATGTAATAAATTAATATTCATTAGAAAAATTTTATTTTTTATTAAGAGAAAATTTATTCTTTTAAAAATAGAACTGAAAACTTATAAAAAATAAACTATTTTCACGGATCCTACACTATCTTATCCCACTTCATGCCAGCTCCATGCCATATCGTCCGGATACAAAGCCCTTTCGACATATTTGGGCCCTGAGGGGGTGGAGAGGTGCAGAAGATGCTGTGGTCAGGTCGGAGGTTTGGTGGCCAGTGGACTGCCAATCATCTCCGAGACTGTCTCGCCAGGTGTCACCATTGACGGCGATAATACTGTTATGTATTTGCAACTTGCTAGGTAGGTACGTGTGTGTGTGTTTGTTTGTGTGCGTGTGTTTGTGTGTGTATGTGTTTGTTTGTTTGTTTGTGTGTGTGTGTGTTTGTAAGTGTGAATTGTTGGATTTATAGATGTTTGTTATTTCATATTTTATGTCCTTTTGTAAATCTTAAAAGTTAAACTTGAAAAAAACAATAAAATACAAAATACAGATTGTCAAGTGATCTTCGGTGGTCAGCTTTCACAGCTTAGCATTGAAATTATTTATTTGTATATCAGATACCTTGTAAAGTTGGAACGAAGAAGAAGAGAAGACGGAGATTCAAAGAACGAAAGAGGTGACGATGTTGATAACGAATTCGATTCGTCCGGTCCTAACTCCAAATCATTCGCTCTCCATATGATCAAATTGCACGGTCTAAAATCGCAAAAGTTAGTTGGTTTTGGATGAGAAAAACAAAAATTATAATTGCTTGTATTATTACAAATAATTATAATTAACCAGTTATTATGAAATTATGCTAAACAAAATTAATTCACCGATGTTAATTATGTGAATTATATCCTCATCTACCTACAGCACTTAATTTTTTATCAAATCACACAAAAATTATCGCATATTTCTCCCAAATTTCAAGACTAATCGAGCAAGCTTATGACAGAATGACGTCACTAGTGACGTCAGAGGGCCTGCCACTATACGAGGCCTGGAATCGAACCTCCGTCGATCTAGTGCAAGCCGCAGAGGTGCTTTAATTAACATTAATTTACCTAATTAACATAAATTGGCCTAATTAACATAAATTAGCATATGTTAATGTAATTACCCGTTTGCAAAAAAAAATTAAGGCCTACACAATTTCATACGCCGTGAAAAGTTTCTATGACGTCATAATGAGTTGTGGTAATGATCAAGATGGCGGACCGGATAGGGATGATGAAGATTTGAAGAATGTTCTTTTTGATGTTCTCTGCCTGTTCGCCGTTCACTCGTTCGTCAGTAGTGTGAACGTTTGTTATCATCTTCTGGTAAGTTGTGGTTTGTTGGCTGTTCCTTCGTTCGTTCTTTTGTTCGTTTGTTCGTTCGTTCTTCATTCATTAATTCATGCATTAATTCATTCCATCATCCAGACAGACAAACTACCAACCAGCAACCTATCGGATCTACGTCAATCAATCGACAAAATGGTGGACAAATTGGCGCCAAATGCTCTAGCTCTCAGCGATGGACTCGATTTGAGTGATGCCGAGTTGGACACTTGCATCGGTTCGAATATCGGTTACTTACGAATCGAATACCAAACCCAGCATAACATTTTCATCTTATTAATTTTAGACAGAAGTTAAATGTACGATAAGAATGTAACACATAAACAATTATGATAATCAATAATTGTAATGATAATTATTCATAATTAATTAATTAATTAAAATTTCATGTAGGAACTTATTGCGGTAATACAGACGCTGATATATTTAATTACGTGGCTGATGTTCAACCTTACAACGCTAAACCAGACGTAAGAATTTATATTATAATAACAACTATAATAATAATAATTATAATTATGAATAAGAATTATAATTATAAATAATAATTATAACTTTTACAGCTCTTGAAACCAGTGCTGGAAGGTCTGAGAAACTACTTCAAACTGAGGTCGAGACTTTGAATATGCAGATGTAAATATACTTTGTATGTTTGTTTGTATGTGTGTGTGTTTGTATGCCTGTGTGTGTGTGTGTTTGTATGCCTATGTGTGTGCGTATGTGCGCTCCGAGAACTTTGAAATTAAAAAGAGATTTTCTGAAGCTATGAGTTTATATTTTATTTAATCATTTGTTTGAAACTTTTCAATAAAACGTAAAAAAATAATTATTTAATGTTTTTGTTATTATTAATATAATTACTATTATAAATAATGATCTATAATAATTAATAATTATAAATAGTTGTGTATATATTTATTATATTAGAGCAAAAATAAATTGAAGAAATACTGAACATACAATATACACAACAATGTTTGTGTGTGCGTGTGTGTATGTATGTGTGCGTGTATGTGTGTGTGTGGTTTGCGTTCATTTTACACTAGCGAAAAAACGTCATTGAAATTATTAATTGGAAAAAAAAATGAAATATTTCTTAGGAAAAATATAAATTATAAAGAATATTATTATTATTGTTAATATTATTGTTATTATTACTATTATTATTTTTATTTATGTTATTATTATTATTACAATGTTATTATTACTATTATTATTATTATTCTCATCATTGTTTATCATTATTATTAA